CTTGCACATGCCTTGTGCCACTTGTTTTAATTTGGATAATAGACAAACATGAAGCCGTGCAATATTTTCTAACAGCTTAGGGGTTGATTACTGCCATGTCTAGACCTCTAGAGAATGGAATTTCTGTCCCAATTCTCAAACTCATTGAGATGTTAGCATTTTTCTGAGTTTCAAAAGTCATGACTAGGATTGCCCCTGTGTTTGGATCTCCCCCCCCCTTTTTTTTTTTTTTTTGCTGCTGGCCAAACTGAATTTCCCCTCGGAGGGAAGGATATTTCTATCCTATTGTATTTCAGCCAACTTCCCTGTTCCTGATGAAGAAAATCAGCCCGCAGCATGATGCAGCGTTATTTCTATGCCATATGCAATGTTTTGCATGCAAATTATAAATGTCACCTCTATTCTAGTCTGATCAGAGTCCCTTTTTCCACATGTTTGCAGTGTCTACTACATCAGTTGAGCTTAAATTTAATCAGGCCTGTCTTAGGCTTTTCCTTATGACTTTCTTCTCACCACTCTCCTTGTCATCATAGGTTTGCTGGTTTGCCAGACAGTCTATTTCAGATTATTGAATAAAGTGGTGGGAAGTTTAAAGCTTGAGATATTTTTTAAACGCTAAACTGGCTTTAAACCTGCAAACAATTGTATCCCCGTCTGGTCTAAATGCTGCTTTTTGTTCACTGATGGTTTCTATCAAAACTTCAAGGCATACAAGAGCTGTTGTTTTTACATTTATGTTAGATTATATAAAGGTAGATTTTGTTTACATCTAGAGGCAGATATTTTAAGGTTTATATGGGAATCTAAGTAAAAGAGGCTTAATACAAATGTACCCCGTATTTTTTAGACTTTGTGAAAATATTTGAAATTGTAAGGTTTCTTTTTTCCCACAGTTTTGCTCTAATATGAGATAGCTTAACATAAAAAAAATTGCAGTAAATTGTACTTTAAGTTTGTGGTTTTAACGTAAGATGGCGATGTCAAAACAACGATCTTTTGAGTGGCATAAATAGGGCTTATATGACGGCGATATTGGAAACGTTGTTTTCTCTCAAATATCAGATGGTAGATCTTAGTTATGAAAAACATACTTGTTAAATTTGACCCAGATTCTTAGTGAAACACTTAACCACAGTTCAAACAGAACAAACAGTTACAGGTTGTGGTTTTGAAAGTTTCGATATAAGCCGCATTTAGTCGTTTAAGTTCCTAGTCATGCGACTGTTAATGACTGAAGACTCGCAGGTTTAACCTATATTTTATGTTCTGGTTAGTTATAAACATTGTTCTAATGAACTTGATTCTGAATCATCGTCTATACAGACCACTAAAGTAAACAAACAGGTAACATAATGAAACTTTTCTGTTGAAGAAACTGTTCTTCTTAAATGAGTTCATGTTTACAAAACTGAAAGTATTGCAATTTATATCTGATTGATACATTGGTTAAGCTGCTTTTTCTGCTCTCGCTTCTACCACTCTGTTGCTATCTGTATATTTTTATTGGCAATTTCCTTACCTTATCTGGTCTTCATCTCCCAAGTAAAATTTTGACTTATTTACTGGTACAACATAAGCAAACATATTTAGCTGAATGCCTTCCAAGATCCCCCACCTCTGCTCCCTTCAGTTGCCATTTAGTTTACACAAGAAACTTGACCTTTTACCAATTGTTCTTTGTAAAAATTTTCTAAATCCATCAAATGAATGAATTCTATGGACATCAATGTCCAAGTTGGACAACATATTTTAAATTCGATCTGTTTGGACTCTGACCAGCTCATTCTAACATAGAAGCCTGTTATCGTATAGATTACTTCTTATGGCTATCTGAGACCATTGCTAGTTCCTGTACCTGTGTGGAAATGGTTTCAACTCTATGAAGATGAAAGACAGGAAATTCAATGAATTCATTAAACTGATTACTCATCCAGCGATAAATCAGACTTAAACATACATTGTCAGTAAGTCTTGTATTGTTTAAGGGAGTCCTGATGCAACTTTTTCAATTACGATACCGATATTGCAGCCTTAAGAATTGTATGATACCAATGTTGACCCAATATGAGATTGGTATGAATTGTACCATCTTTTATTACTTGTTTTATACTTTTGAATGTTAAAAGATGCTTAATAAAGTAATATTAGTTAAACAGAGAAACAAAATTCAAGAACAGCACGGAGACTATAGATGCCGGCTGATAAAATCCGATGTCAGGATTTCGGCTAATATCGGACCATCCATCCATCCATCCATTTTCTTTACACGCTTGTCCCAAGTGGGGTCGCGAGGGGTGCTGGTGCCTATCTCCAGCAGTCAATGGGCGAGAGGCGGGGTACACCCTGGACAGGTCGCCAGAATATCGGACCAATATAAAATATATATATTGGATCGGGAAATGGCTACAATTGTTACCTTGTGTTTGTGTCACATATAGAGTGTAGGACTTCCTAGCCAAGATGACTCTCTGATCACATTACAGAAGCATTCAGTTATGATGGAAAACCACCAATCTCAAGGAGATCAGACACCCCAGGCCAAGGCGATAAGAGTTGACCGGACGGTCATAAGTAGTACTTTGTGGTGTGCTTTTCTGCATAATGTTTGACCTGTGGTTAGTGGAAGTAAGAATGAGGACGATTTTGTTGCCTCTCATAGATCTAAACATGCAAGTGTGTTTCAGCTGGTCAGCTATGAGCGTGTTGTTGTTGTTAAACAGGACAAGCCCCCTCGTTATGGTGCATTCAGACTCTATGCGGTGGCTGCGGTAAACGCACTGGATTCACAGAATGCGTATA